TGATGTGAAACAGTCTGTAGTTACTCAGAAACTGGATTAAATAATACCATTATAATATATATGTTGCCCAAGCAAAACCTGCATCTTAATTGATTTCCTGTGATTTTCTTAACAAGGTTCAATACTTTTGAGTCAGTGACTGTCCCCCCTTGTATTGTTTCCAAAATGAATATATGTCCTCCAATGTGATGTATGCTTTTTAATAACTTGGAAAAATAATGAAGATAACATAAATCTTAGTATTTTGCACAGGAAGGAATGGTAAATTATTTGGGAGTGCAGATAAAAGGGGCAGATAATCTTATGAGGGGCCTTTGGTGGCTCTCTTGAGCTTGGTTGTTTTCTTGCAGATGTTTCATTACCCAAACTAGGTAACATCATCAGTGCTATTATCACTAGCGCTGATGATGTTACCATGTTTGGGTAATGAAATGTCTGCTAGAAAACATCCAAGCTCAGAGAGCAACCAAAGGCTCCTCATTTCAACCCTGAGCTACAAATATTCTACTTTATAGAAAATCTTATCCTTGAAATATTTATCCTATTTATATGCAGACATTATAAATACAATAACCATTGGGATCACCACAGCCAGTTTATGCCATAATCTTTCAACTTTGATTTTCAGATCTTGATACTTTGTGATATTCTCCAATTCTTTGTCTTCTACTCTACTGTGCCTACACTTTCTTCTATTCATTCAAAGTTGAAAAGAAGAAAGTGGGCAATTTGGTGTGTTATGAGCCAAGACTTTATCAGTCTGATTTGAAAATCCCACATTTTCACTCATTTTTGACTATTTTTTCAACTATATGTTCCCACCAATTTTTCATTACTGGCACATGTTCTAGTAATATTGCTTCAGTGAATCATTTTGGCAACTATGTTATGTCATGTATACTTCAGTTGGTGTAATCTTGCATGAGCTGAATGAATGTATTATCTATTATTTCTTTGTCTCCTTCACACACTCTGCACTTTGAATCATTTGATCATTTTTCAAATCTGGCAAATCTTTTTCAGTTCTATTCACTAGTTCAACTAGCTGGCTCTTGAGTAGTCAAAATCAAGCCTATAGGTTTTTTTTGTTCCTTGTATCATTAATATTATCATTACTAATATTTCTTATGATGATTATAAAGGAACAGTACAGTAGTTGATGTGAAGCAGACGATATATAGTGAGCATTGCATAATGACTACCAATAATACAATGTACACTGCAGATCCATTATCTGAAATGAATAAATAAATGCAGTAATCCGTCTTTCCTTATTTTGAATGTAGTATTTCTCCTTAAAACAATGCAAAATGAGATATCCAAGAATTAAAGTGGCATAAATAATTTTATTCAATTAATATGAAAAAATATATGTTCTACAAAGAATGAGAAACTGGGTGAGTTCAAAGTGATTTATTTGATTTCCCACATAATCACAGTTATAGTTTAACAACAATAAAGTCTGATACTACTTACAAACAAATGCATATTAAAATGAAAGCACTCTTTCCTTTCCAACAGTTACAAAATCTCTTGAATCTCCCTTTACAGAAGCTTCTCGTGAGCATGATGTTTCCTGAAGTCTTTTAACAGTCTGCATTCAATCTAATTCTAACAGTTTAATACTATTCAAAGCTGGGATTTAGTTCCTAGCAGAGACAGGTACTGTATTGTAACCTGTAAAGTGACTGCAGACTTATATTAATACTAATTTACACACTATATACAGTTTAGAGAATTAATTATTCTTCCTACTTGGTCCTGTTTCCACTCCCCTTTTTCCCTCCTTCAAAATTGTTATCTTATGATTGGTCATTTTTTCTTTGTATGTACACACGTTTTTTTGCAGGCAAGATGTGATGATATTTTACAATGGAAACAGCAAAACTCATGCTTAATTGCAGAAAATGCACAGCTGTATATGAAACAGCAAGTCAACATGTAAAGTGTCATTGTTAAGTAGCTGCTGACTGCTTTTCAGCTCATTTAAAAACCAAGAAACGAGGTTTCAGCTGCATGCAGTGCTTGATGGAAAATCATCCTACAAGTTATGCTTTTTAAGACTTTTAGCAATACAAGACATTTACATCATAATAGGATAACTTTGGTTTTCTTTACATTGATTTACATTTCATTCTTAATTAAAAGAAATATATAATTAATGGTTGTCCCAGAAAAGATATTTTTACAAGGTCCATTTTTCTTACAGTTTTCACTGAGAGAAAAAGATGTGGTTCAGTAGTGCTTTACACTGTTTTTAATCAATAAGGAAAACATAATTAATACTTTCCAATATCTACCTTTTAAAAATTAAATCTATTTTCTTCAGTAGCATATAAATTGTAATAATGATTACTTTTGTTTTGCAAAACAAGGAGAAGTTGTTTTTTTTAAACTTTTAAACCTAGAGGTATTTCCCTTCCTTGGATGGTTTGTCTAAATGGCAATAACACTGGATTTTTATGCAATAACGTATTGATTGAATGGATGTATTGAATATTTTTTATATTTGTTAATCATCAAAATTTGTGATGATTATTTTTTCTGTATAATTATAAAAGATAAAACCTGCATCTAACTAAATGCATATGAATCTAGAAACCTAAAATCTTTCATTGATTTCCTGGAATATCAAAACAATGAGTATAAAAGATGGATAGCATTTTTAAAATATGCAAATAGATAATACAGATATTAATGCTTGAAATGTAAAATAATGACTATCCAGTCCATTGCTTTTGATATATGCAAATTATACAATGAGCAACACAAAGGAAAAAATGCCCTATCATATCTTTTCTGGAACAACTTATAAGTTACAATTCAACTTACTATTGGTACAAAGGTTTGAAGAAAAGCTGACATATTTAAATATGTTAACATTTTACTTCAACTAATATCAACAGTAACACTGAAATACTTTGCAAATATACGTTATGGAGAGTGTAGCCTCAATACTACTAACATTAGATGACATGCATACAGTTGTATTATTCCTTATTAGAAGAAAACCCAAATTTAAATGTGAAGAGATCCTTGGGTTGTGATGTTCCCTCTCAAGTAATCTGCACAATCTAGGACAGCTTGGATAATAACATTATTTTTATTAAAATTTCCTATGAAGTTAAATTAGATGGAGGGAAAACCAAGGACAGGAAAAGGTGTCGTGTATTGCATACGAAATAATTGTCAAATTTAAACAAATTGTAAGTGGTTGTTTCTGCTGAATGAAAGTTAACGAAACTACTGAGCTTATTTTTGCTGGTACTCCATATAATCCATATATTAGAAAATGAGGGAAGAAAACTGGAGATCAGAAATCACCAGCATAGAAGCAATAATCAGTTTTTGTTTGGCTTTACCCATCTCTCACTGGAACATTTTTCCTCCTCTTCTTTTAAATCAACATTCAGAATTCTGCTGGTGCAGCTCTGCGGTTCCTTTTGTTTCTGTCTTTTAGATGTAAAGTCGTGACTGAGGTGGCTCAAAATGCTGAAACTACAAAGTATGCTCCGTGTATGATTTTATTTTATTTAAAAAAAAAAATTAGGATTTAGGCTTACAAAGAAATATATGGTCTTGCAAATGACTCAGTACAACACATAAGCAACAACAGCACAGTTGGATTTTACAAGATGTCTTGGACTAACTGGACTATGACAGTTCGAGCAGAGACTCAGCCTGCTGAGTGCTGGATAAAACTAACAAATGTGATGAGAAAAATGGTGAGAAAATCCTGCTGCCAGCACATGGCTACATGGAATTACAGTTATAAAAATCTATACTCAATACTAAAATAAACTTTCAAGTTTCTGATTGCTTTCATGTGGAAAAAAAAGTCTGAAGTTTTTATTGATTAAAAACTGAGTATTAAATGGTAAAGAGGCAATGCGGCCGAAAGGAATGGATGTTGGTTATTTCAGGGTCTGAGATGAATGTTCATGCAGCGTATGTAAATACCATCTATGTAAATCTTCATGTGTATTTATTAAAATATACACAAATACAAAAGAAATGTAAACTATGTAAGTTCACAGTTATCACAGCCTTTAAAGTGTCTAAGAACTGGAGGAACCAAAATGTAGAGAAAACCTAGAGTAAAGGTTGTCTCATGTTGCTACTGTATAGTTACTGCATCTTAACTAGTTTGCTTACCTGAAATAGCAGAGCAGTTATAATACTGAATAAGTATATTATACTAATAGAGTACAAAGCATATTTGATTGCAACAGTTATATGCTATGTTATTTGGCACATTTTGCAAAGATTGCTTAAAGATTTTATTTTCTCAAGTCCATAGAACTTGCTCAATGAGTACTGAAATGCCTGGAATTTGTTCCTTAGTTTTTTGGTCTACACTTCCATTTGCTACTCATCTATTTTACTGCCCTTTATCAGTAAGGGAAATTATGGAAAAGTATATATTGCTAACCTTGTGGACTGAAAAAACTTTGTTCTAAGCATAAATGTTAGCTATACAGTCTCTCTCTCTCTCTCTTTTTCTGTATATACCTATATCTATATATATATATATATGTCTATATTTATATATTTATATTACATAGAGTTTACTTACGTATTTTCATCAACCATATGAGGTCTACATTTTTTGCCCATTGTAAATTAAAGAGCAAGAATGCCACATTAATTTTATTTCATAGTTTTCCTTTTATTTTGAGTAAGTTATGTTTTCATTACTTGTTAAAAATGGTCATGCGGATGAAAAAAGGTAGCTTAACGTTTTCAGCAAGCAGCATATTTTCAAGGCTACTAGAGAAAAAGGAGGGAAAAGGTCACCACCGAACTGTTAAGACCAGCACTGTGAGGTTAATATGCATTGATCCATTGAGTCCTTAAGGCAAAGGAGTCAATTAAGTTGCTTCTGGTTCGGATCTTTTAAAATAAATTAAAAAAATAACCAGAATTATAGGCTGCTTCTGTTTCCTGTAAGTGCCTTTACATCTAGGCCTAGAGCTACAGCTGTGGCTGGGTGGCTGGCTGGCTTCTAGACTATTGTGCTGATGCCGCTATGCTTGGGCTTCGTGCTGGCTGAAGAAGAAGGGGCTATTGGCTGTGCATGGTGATGGGAAGGATGGGAAGGATGTGCCAAATGAGGAGGGGGCAAGGGAGGATGGGGAGCGTGGGAATATGGGGTGTGGGAATGTGGCAGGTACGAATGCTGGGCATGAGCTACATGCTGCGAGTGTGGCCCGTGATGGTACTGGTGCGGATGCTGGATGTGCTGGGGCGGATGATAGTGATGGTGATGGTGATAAGGAGGTGGGTTCTGCATATGGCAGTACTGAGAGTGGTGGCTGTGCACTTGTGCCTGGGTCTGCCCTTCAGCCGGACCCGGGTGGTGCATGGCAGGAGGATGTGGAGAGTGCTGCGGGTGTGACATTATGGGAGGGTGCTGAGGTGGCAGTGGTGGGCCGGATGCTGAATGGCCTTGGGAAGGCTTTCCTCGCTTACTACCAAATAAGGACCCTAGTAGTGAGGAAGAATTAGGCATAGTCTGGTGAGGGCGAGATGGACACTCTCGGGTTGATGTAGCTCTTCGGCGCATATGAGGACTGCTAATGATGGACCCCTAAAAAGAAATTAATAGAAAATAAAAATTAAAAAAAATCTTAAAAATATGTGTAAAAGAAAAAGTTCACAATGACCATCATGTTTTCTTTAAAAGCTCATATGGAGAAATAGCTGTATGAACTGCAGGAGAAATCTGTTTGTCTCTTTCTTTTTCTGCCAATTTCTTTTTTCAAGTTGTAAGTGGGTAAATACTAAGTATGATCCATTAACAAATACTGGTGGCTTTCTTAAAAAAAGAACCCTGAAATTATTAAATCATAAAAAGTAATCAGTTACCACAAACTGTTTGATTTTGCTTTACATTCTTTACCCTACTAAAAATATAGTCATATTATTTATTTTTCTCTTCAAGGACAAAAATATATACAGTTATGTTGAATTAGCCTGAAGGCAGTTACACGTTATTAATAGTCAGATTTCATGGTAAATTTTTCAATAGAATTATAATTAAAATAGCCTGATGCTCTTTGTAATGTAGAAAATAAGTATTTTCTTGCAAATAGATTGCTTCTATTTGTTTGCAGGTTAATGTGCTGTCTAGTATTTTCAACTATTTATCTTTTAGGTATCCAAATTTCTTGTTAGTCTCTGGATGCTTTTGTTTTCTTTACAGACAATTAACTGCCAATGCTTTGTGTGCTATTATGTGGACTGCACTCTATTCAGTTTTAACATACATACATACATACGTACGTACATACATACACACACACACACACACACATACACACAAATCTGCAGGCTGAATTCAAAGACATGAACAATATATAAATGGTTTGAAGATGAATGAAATCTCATGAAATCCACATTGAATTCACCTGTTTTATTTGTTTTCTTTTCCCATGCCCTATCTATGCAATTCCATGATGTCACGACTGCATACATTTCACAATTTAATTAGAAAGTAAGCAATGTGAATGACTAAGCATGAATTCAATACTTTGCGTTAAATAACGAATAGCACAATAAGTGCACTGTGTAACAAAGAACCATCGGGCCTTTACACAGGGACCAGAGTGACAGTGGCAAAAGGGCACATCATATTCATTTAGTCATGCTTGCAGGAACAGAAGGGGATAACAGCAGCTGAAATAAAAAATGATGCATGATCTAAACAGACCAGAAATAGTGTTGGTTTTTTAAAGGCTAAAACTATAAAGCCTTGGCATGCATTTTATTTGAGGCAGGCAGGTTGTATGTTAGAAGAAAAAAAGAGCAAAATATGTATATAAAATAAAGGTTTGAAATGCACATCACATCCAGCTAGACATCAGTAACTTCCTACTTACTTCCATATTGCTGTCTAGCGATCCTGCACTGCTGCGTCGCCCACGCTTGCCTGCCCAGGACATGCAATACCATAGATTAGAGACCAAGACAAGACCTGGGGAATCAATAGCCACTTTCCCTAACGCATCGCAGGACTTTTTTCTGGCAGCCTAAAGATTAATTCTGCATGTTGTGATAGCCCAGGAATTGTTATAGAAGTACACAGTTAAAATTAAACTCTACGCACGCTGACTCAAAAGCAATTTCTCTATTTTTCAGTGGGCCTTGTGCTCAGGTAAGAATGTAATTTACACTGCCTGGAAGTCGCTGAGAAAATTTCTATTTCTTTTAATGAGGCTGAATCCAGACTTAGTGTAAGCCTATTGGAAGCTATGGTACTTAATTTAATCATTAATAATTTTATACTCCATGGATTTCAATGATACCTGCTTTAAATATGACCAAGTCGGAACATAGCTCCTGATTTATGATGGAAGAATTAGAAGTTAAAGCTACTAGTTTCCTTATAAATTTGTCTTATATGTATTTTTGTGGATATCCATATTTGGGCATTTTAATATATATATATATATTTATAATTATACATATGAACAATAATCTGTGTATGTGTGTGCTATCCTGTAAATGTTTATATAAAATGGCCATACTGGATAGGATTTAAATTTTTTAAAAACAATGGCTATGCATTTCTCAAAATCTATTTAAATGTTTTTAGTCACACTCAAGATCTTCAAGTATGGTGACTGCATTTTGACTTACAGATTTGCTACTATTACATGATAATTATCTGAAAGATAATAATAGATTTCATATAATCATAACAAAGAAAACTAAATGTAATTTTACATACAAAAATAATTAATCCAATGATATGTCCAGATTTGTTTGTTTACTGTGCAGTGCTTATATATTTATATGGATTTACAATGTTTTTTAAAGATGGATGCTCGGATCAGATACTTCACACTGAAAGTTTGTTGCGTGCCAATTCCTAGCATAAGGGAACCCACTCTCCCCTGGAAAAACACAGATTCCAGGACACCTCTATGGTAATTTTACTTTATATGAAGTGTAACATTACACCATAATAATGATAACTTATTCAATTTGCATGCCATCCAACTCTCAATGATTCAGAGTGGCTCTAAATTTAAATCGAAAGGAGGTAGATTTAAAGTGGGAAGACTCAAGTTAACTATTAGATTTGGGAATGTGCCAACTGTGGAAACAGCATGGAAATAAACAACAGTCCAAAGTGCTGTTCAGTAGAAATGTTCAACATTACTTGTTTTGTCCTCGAGAGAAAATATATTTTCTGTCTTAAGAGGTCCTGCCTTATTAAATGTGAATGAAGATTTAGAATAAAAGGGGGTGAGGGCAATTAATTAACGACTTTTTGACAATTCTAATCATTACAATGGTTATTTTCTAGTACAGGGGTAGGCAACCTTGGCTCTTTTATGATTCATGGACTTCAACTCCAAGAATGGCTGGCTCAGGAATTCTGAGAGTTGAGGTCCATGAGTCATAAAAGAGCCAAGGTTGCCTACTCGTGGTCTAGTAGCCAAACAATAATGTAAGGTGGTTATATAATATCTGCTTCTGTATGTAGTAGTTAACAAAACACAGAAAGTCAAACTCAAAGGGACAAGAAGGAAGCATTCCACTTCTTACATTACAAATGTCACAGTGAATTCCACAAGAATGAAATTGACGCATAGTGAAATTCAATGATACTGAAGAAAGGTTTCAATAGAAAAATAGAAAAAAATAGAATAGAAAAAAAATGTAAGATCCTAAATTCTACTGAGTGAATCTCAATAGAAAAAAAGAGTAAGATCCTAAGTTCTGAGATGCTATGCAATACCCTTTATTATTTTAAGGTAAAAGTAAAATAGAATATTATATAAATAGGATGAATGTAATTTATCATTAGTCAGCTAAAAATATTGGTTTAAAATAAAAATCTGTCACTCAAATGTTACTTTTCACAATAATAAGCTATTCCGTATTATTCTGTGTAATGAGTTTCTGATTTTTTAAAAACAAGTACAGTATGGTGTTCATCATTACATTTTTACTTACAAATGTGCAAAGCCTTTCAAAGAAGTGCTTTATATATCACATGATAATTCATACAATGAAAATGTCTTCTTCAGAGAATTAAAGCAGATATTTCTTTTTCCGGGAAGCGAAGTAATAAGTAAAGGAAAGAAGCAGGCATGTAAGCCCGGAGAAAGATACAGCTGCCTTTCTGGATCTAGGAATCATCCTTTGTAGGCACAATCACATGGCACAAAGTATCACTTTCAAAAGATTTGCACAACCCTGATAAAATATTTGTTAAATTGGGTTTCTTTCAAATAGGCATGGCTCTCCTTAGAAAATCTCTATTCTAGATTATAGTTACTGTAAGACCTATTTCATAGCCCATACAAATCCTAAAGTTAAAGCTATGTGAGTCTGAATGAAGTTACATGCTGTCCTAAATCAGATTTATTTATTTTATTTATTAAATTTTTATGCCACCCATCTCACTGATGCAAAGACTCTGGGCAGTTTACAATATAACATAATTACTGAATGCACTTTCATATTTTTTTAGGATTTTTTTAAAAAATGTGTTTAGGATAAAAAAAGTGTCAGTCCAAACCAATGCCTCTATAATTAGTTCAGGAATATTTTAAGGTGGCATGGTTCAGCTTCTATTAATGATATAGTTTTTTATATGATAGCTAATGTAGTAAACAATATAAAGGTGAGATAAAAGTATGATGATGGAAAATTTGATTAATCTCACAGAGGGTCACTCGTGTTAAAAATTAATATTTGCGATCCCAGTATAAGTTGTGCAAAGATTTTTCAACTCTTTACTGAATCTAATGATCTACTAATGAGATTCAACTCAGAATGTAAAATAAAATGTTGCAGAACAGAAGCTTCAGGAGTTTAATCACTTTTTTCTACGGTCCAACCTCACTTCCAATTGTTGTTCAGCTTTCTATGTCACTAGCCATGCTCACTCCTCACTGAGATATTTGGAGGTGGTTGGGATCTGCAATTTTTATGAGGATGTCTGTAAAAACTGTTCTCAGTCCCAGTTCCACGAACTCCTTGATTTATTCCTTGATTTTTAAGCAATGTCTGTTGTTGAAGACATTTTAAAATAACTTTTCAGTATCAATCAGAAATGACTGATGCAGAAGGAAACTTGATATCCTTTTAATACTTATCCCCCCTAACCCTCCTTTTCCAGTTTCCTCAGAATTCTGGGAGTTGAAGCCATTTTAATGTTGCCAGCATTGGCAAACACTAATCAATTGTATTCTCCTTCTTTATCCAGTTTTCATTAGAGGTTTTTTTTTATTCTAACGTTTCCTTTGGATAATTCAGCAAACTACAGGGTCATTTCAAGTTTGCCCTCTTGTGCATGGATAGTGATGTTCCGGGTCACAAGTGCAAGCAAGAAAAATGGAGTCAGAAAGAAGAGATATGATGCTTGTAACCTAAAATATATTTATAGTATGAGGGATATTACTTATTACTATAACAGGCAAAAAAGCCTATACTATGATGGAAAACCAAAAGGAATTCTCATTATTCCTTTGCCTGAGAAGCTCAGAAACAGTTAATGTGACTGGCAAAGAACAAATAAAATATTAAACACATTATGCAATAGAAAGCAGAAAATCAGATGATTTGTTATAATATACCTAAACAGTTTCATAAAGGGTACTGTTACTATCAAATCCATCTCCTAGGGGAAATAATCTATTTCTAATTTATATTTTAAAAATCTTACATTTTCATTGTTACATGGAATCCCAAATCTCTTTATATAAACATAGTCTATGGAAAGTGCAGTTAAAAAAGTCACCTTAATATTGTTAAAAATTACTTATTTATATATTAAATTATATGCCTTCCATCTCACTCAGCAAAGCAAGTATTCAGTAAAGAGGGGGAGATTTCAGAATAAATATATTTTTATGTAAATTCAATATTTTTAAGTTTTCCTTTCTTTTATTTCATACATATTTTGGGGAGTTACCCTAAATAACAACAAAAATGAAAATAATCATAATTTTACTAGTAATTTAGCAACTACTGTGAGTCAAAGAATTTTCCAGAAATATAGAAATTGGTAATTTCAGGTCTTTAAATAAGTGGAGGGCTCCAAAAAGACATTAGATGGTCATCTGTCAAATATACTGCAGTAGTTTCTGCATTTAAATTTAAGATTGATACATCTCATGTGTGTTTGTGTGTGTGTGTTATCTACCTTTCTTGTAGCAGAATCAGTGCCAAAACTGATATTTTGGCACAGTTAATTACTTTCTGTGATCCAGTGTTTCTAATTTCTTTTTCCACATTTAAAAAATATACTTATACTTAAATTAATACCCATAGTTAATACCCATAGTTCATGTCAATATTAGTAATTACTTGCTCCTAAATTACATCATATGCTATCAAGGAATATGACAACTGAAAAGATGCACTTTGTATTATATATTTTCTTTCAGCCTAAAGAACAAACAATCAATACATTATTGATTTTATATACCCATGTCAATACATAAAATGGGATTTAAGGGCTATGTTTACTGGAGAATACTCAGAAATCTAACTTAAGTGCTCAGAGCAATTGGATTTAAAGACACCAGAACATCTTACATGTTGAGAAGTTAAAGTATGATATAGTTACTATAATAATTCTGTACCGCATGCTATTATAGTTCTCTAAAATAAACGTTAAATAGTATTTGTTGATTTGGAAAAATCAAACTCCAGCCCTGGAAGCCTTGTTGTGGCTTCACTTCAACTTTCCCCTTGAAGTTAGTAGGGGAGCTGCTGTTGCTTCTTCTGTGTTTCCCAGCATTCAGGCTGCGGCTAGAAGCCACAGCTCATACAATGGAAGAAGCATGTGATGGCAATCTCCTTCTCTCTCTCTCTCTCATCTCTCTGACGGTGAGAACTTGTAATAGTATGTGGGAATGATCTTGGGAGACAGGAGGAAGAGTCTCAGCCTAGTCATCTGATAAATGAAATTTGAGTCCGAAGGAAAAGGAGTAGCACAAGTGACCCAGAAGGGACCCTCCCTAATTTTGGAAAAAGTAAAAGTGAGGGACAGAAGGGGTACTTTTGAGACATGCAAAAATAAGAGCTGGTATTCCTGGATGTGCTTCTCATCTGGACTACTTTGCAAGGCTGACACTCCTCTGATTCAGACAATCAGAGCCTCTAGCTTCTGATGCCTGGTAGGCTGGCTCACTCTCTAGAACAGTGGTTCTCAACCTTTTTAATGCCGCGACCCCAACCGGTCGTAAGTCGAGGACTAAACCGGTCGTAAGTCGAGGACTTTCCCTGCCCGGGAGCGCCACGCATGCGTGGTTCTGCCCCCTGCGCCGGCCGAGGCGTAGCTGGCAAGCGGCAGAGACGGAGCAGGCCGACCACCAGCTGGCCCAGCCCAAGGGAGGTAAGGCACCCGCCGGAAAAGGGGAAAAAAATGGCGGACAAAAAAAAGGCGGAAAAAAAATGGCGGACAGCCTTGCTTGGCGACTCCCGTGAAATGGTCGATCGACCCCAAATGGGGTCCCGACCCACAGGTTGAGAACCACTGCTCTAGAAGCCTTTCTCACCTGACCTGACCAGGTGATTTGCTCTATGTGGACCCAAGAAGAAGAAATTGTGGTATCTGCCTGCCTTTATATTCACAATCCCTATTCAACCTTTCCCAGTGAAAGCCTTCAAGCTTTTTTGGAGATAAAGCTTGCAAACAAGGTGCTGGGAAGCAAGGAAGACCATGCCAGCTGTTGGAGGTTGGATGGGGTAAACAGATTAAAGGTATGTAAACTCAGAAAATGAATAGGACGCCATATGTGACCTCCAAGATTAGGGCTAGGGCTGAGATCCTTAGCATAACCAAACATGGCAAGCATAACATTTGGGAATAATTTTGACAAGTTTTCTCTAAAACCTCTCTATAAAAAAATCCTTTGTTCTAGATGTTATTCACACCTTCTGCATTAAGATTCCAGGAATGAAGCTGATCCATCTAGAAACTGGATTGTCTCTTAAGCCTTTAATCATTTACCAATCTACTTCACAATTTATTTCATTATTTTAGTTCTTTTATTCAAATTAGCAACAGTGAAATTTCCTAATGATTTTTATGCTTGAACTCATTCCTATAACCACAAAAGTCATTTTATTATTGCAGAAAAAGCCTGATTCTCTTTCTTGATAACAGCTAAAATAATCTATGTTTAACGTCCCAATTGTCTCCATTTGTATTTTCAAATTAACTGCACTGCACAAGCCCAAACATAAAAGTTCTATAATATTAACTTGAAAAATATTAAAGTTCAGCAAACATTAATATGTTCATCACTTAAGCCCTTCATCCTGACATCTATGTTCGGCTCTGGAGAACAACTGTCAGTATTGCCTATGCCAGCAGATGGCATGTGCTCTAGGCATATTAACTATTTTGTGATCCTTAAAAATTCATCTTGTTTATTGTAAAGAGGCAAGATGAAACTATCTACATGATAATGTTTGAAATAAGAAAATGAGAAGCTCCTATTAGGATGAAATATATTAATTCATAATCCTCTCAGATAATCAGTACAACAGTGAAATTCCTGTTTCTAAAAATGAATGTGGCCATTCTCACGTGAAAAGCAAAAGCCAAAAGTGAAACCATTCTTAAATGAAATTACATAACAATTACTGAGATTTCATCCAAATCATACAAGTACTTTTTAAAGACTGAGTAAATCTGTTTCAGTGAAATTAATATAAAGGTCACCAAATTTCCTTCTAAGTTGTTTAAAGTGAATAAAAAACTATGAAACAGAATATAACCTGCAAAGATAAAGAATACATATGCATATATTCTAATGAGCAAATAAATGTTTGTATGTAATGATTCATACTGCATATTAAAGATTTATAAATAGAATATTGATTGTATCCCTCTCACCATACATTAAATTCAAAACATCTGTAAAATGAACATCCAATATTTAAGAGCTGCATATTACTTTATCGAGTAATGAAAACAAGTAACAGGAAAATATTAATTAAATCATGTATTTATAACGGATATATTTAATTTAAGATGATGTGCATGATGTTAAAACGCAGAGCAATACTAGTGGCAATAGTAGGAATCATTCTGTGTCTAATATTATGCACGCATGACTGAAATGTCCTGCTTGACATGCAAAATGCACCACTGATTTCCAAACATAATAACAAAGGTATTTATCTAATTCCTGCATTCATAGAAAATGTATATAATCCAAAATCAGGTATATAACATATATATATTTCAATATATGTTAAACTGCTATCACAATCCATTTTAAGCCACAAAGCAGTAAGGCAAAACTGGAGTAACTACTTTGCCATGATGGTTCCCCGCCATCATACTGGTAAACAGCAGTACAATATAAACATAAGCCACATTTGACAAAATCTAGAATTGTTTTCTGAGCAATATAATTAAGTAGCATCAATCACACAGGTATGTCTGATCTGTATTTCTCTATAAAATTTAGCAGGGCTTCACTCAATTTCATTCATCAGTATTCTACATGGATACAAACAATCACAAAAAGCATAAGCAGCAGCCAGTACACAGTGATTTGGGTGGATTTTTTTTCCTAATGAAATTAATAAATAGAAGAAAGCGAAGATAAAAAGCAAAACTAATTATTCCTTGTAAAAATATATATTTCCATTTATTCCTCTTTAAAAATATGTATACAAAAACCACCTATAGCAATCTAATATTTTCGAATGCAAACGAAAAATAGAAAATAAATTTCTATATAATTTTTCCAAATTGATTTCTAGACTTTCAGGTTCACAGGCGCATCCTTCTAATACTCCAAAATTAATCTAAGAGAGAAGAAATGCAAAGCTTACCTGCTTCAGAAAGATCTCTAAGGGAGCTGCTAAGAGCGCTCCTTTTGAGGCCTTCCCCCGTGGCATAGCTGTCATCCAGGCAGGCCCGGTTCAACGTTCCATTGCCGGACTCTTTTTTCAGGCTAGAGCACTGAGACATGCTTGGTCGCACTACACCTTTCTGTTTCTCTAATTCAGCTGAAAAAAAAGGTAAAAAAGAATTCTATGATGAATCAAAACCTTCTGTGTACTATATTCCAGTAGGTCAGAAGTACATTATTTTGGCCACACAAGCAAGTGGAACCTCTGGAAAACTATCTAAATTCTGTGCTATTGCTGCTGCTCAATGTAGATTCTATAACTCCCCCAAAAATAAAAACTACACACAAACACATTTATCCCATATCTCCCACATCATGGACATGCTTACTGTTTATTTGTGAATGTTACCTTTTACTTTGTTTCTTCATTTTATGTTACTTATCTATGATAATAATAAACTTTAACTAGAATAGAATAGAATAGATTAACAGAGTCCAACCCCCTGCTTAGGCAGGAAACCTTGTACCATTTCAGACAAATGATTGTCCAGTCTCTTCTTAAAGACTTCCAGTGTTGGAGCATTTACAACTTCTGGAGGCAGGCTGTTCCACTGATTAATTGTTCTAACTGTCAGGAAATTTCTCCTTAATTCTGGGTTGCTTCTCTCTTTGATTAGTTTCAATCCATTGCTTCTTATCCTGCCTTCAGGTGCTTTGGGGAATAGCTTGACTCCCTCTTCTTTGTGGCAGCCCAAGATATTGGAACACTGCGATCATGTCAGCCCTAGTCCTTCTCTTCATTAAACTAGACATACCAAATTCCAGTAACCATTTTTTATGTCCCCTAATCATCTTTGTTGCTCTTCTCTGTGCTCTTTCTAGAGTCTCAACATCTTTTTTACACTATGGTGACCAAAACTGGATGCAGTATTTCAAGTGTAGCCTTACCAAGGCATTGTAAAGTGGTATTAGCACTTCACGTGATCTTGATTCTATCCCTCTGTTAATGCAGCCTAGCACTGTGTTGACTTTTTTGGCAGCTGCAGCACACTGCTGGCTCATATTTAAGTGATTGTCCACTAGGACTCCGAGGTCCCTCTCACATTTACTAGTACTGAGCGAGGTACCACCTATAC